TTTCAAAAAGCCTTTGACAGCACCGACTTAGAAGTAATTTGACAGGCAGCTGCTTCAGCACTACGGTTTCAGTGCCATAAGCTTTCACCAACCTCATTAAAAAGCTATATGCCATATGATGCTACATGCCAAGTGATTCACAATTGAAAGAAAGCTCAGTGACGCCATTGAAGTGAAGACAGGAGTAAGACAAGGGTGCTTCCTATTATCACCCATGATCTTCCTGATTGCATTCGACCAAACTGGATCATGCAGCAAACTGTGAAGAGTGAGAAGACGGGCACACGCTGCTTGACCGATGAAAAGACCCCAGAAGAAGATTTGGATTTCGCCAACGATGATGATGATTTTGATTTATGTCTAATGTCTCGTCGCACAAACTCGAAGATCTACACGCGAAAACCAACAAGTTGACAGAAGAGACAGCGAAGACGGGACTTCAAGTGGACGTAGGGAAGACAGAGGTGATGAAGACACCCAACCACCACCACCACCACCACCACCAACAACAACAAGCACCAATCACCATCAACGCGACAAACCTACAGGTAGGCAGCATCGTTTCAACTACAGGCAGCGGCACAGGCACAGATGAGGATGTCAAGGCCAGGATCGGAAAAGTAAGACAGGCCTTCCTACATCAATCTGAAACCAGTGTGGAGATCTACTGCACTCAGCATGTGGAACAAGATCCGGATTTCCAACACCAACGTCAAGTCAGTGCTTCTATATGGTTCAGAAACTTGACGCATCACGAAAAGCATTTCCAACAAACTACAGACATTCATCAACAGCTGCCTACGCTGACTCGTTACTCAAGATCGGATGACCAGAATAATAAGAATAAGCAACGAGGAACTCTAACTGACTGACTGACTGACTGACTGACTGACTGACTGACTGGCTGGCTGGCTGTCAACGAACCAACCAAGAATCTGTCGCCCAACAAATATGCAGAAGAAGAAAGTGGAGATGAACTGGACTGGACTGGACTGGACATGGACTGAGAAGACCATTCGGGGATATCAAGCTCCAGACCAGGCCGTTGAGTGGAATCCAAAGGGGAAACGACGAGTTGGGCTTTCGAGGTGAGAGTGACATGTTGGAGATGGTGTGAGGAAGAAATGAAAGCTTGTGGGTAGTTGTAGAGCCAGACTGAGAAGACTGCATAGAAGAGAGTGTAATGGCGACGTGTTACTGAAGCCCTATATTCCACTAAGAACCCAGGGGACAGATGATCATATTAATATATTTAATTTGCGATATTCATCTCTTTTCATGATTGTTATCAGTCTCGTTGAATCGGTTTTAGCAGAAAGATTTTCCTTCCAGTTTTACAAATCGAAATATGAAAGAGAAGAGAATCCCGGACCTCTAAATAATTGTTCTTTTGAACCTCTATTTCAAAGTCGACGTAGACATTGATATGCTGCTTAAACGTTTATGAGAGTCGCTGAACAAATCATTCTCTGCTTCAAGTATGTGGGTCATCTTTTCATGCCTGAAGCTGAAGCATCTATCTGTAGGACAATTTGACACACTGGGGCTCATCAGTGCAGATCTTTAAGTTCAACCACTTCTGAGGAGATAAGTATATTTAGCGTATCACCACCCACTAGCGAAATGCAAATGCGAACTCTGACTAGCTTGGTAATTGAGAAAGAGGAGAAGAAGACGATATCCAGCTCTATCATCAAGCGCTGAGTCACCTAAAGGCATCCAACTCGTCTCAAAATGTTCAAAATCCTTGACAAAATTTGAAAGGATTTTTGAACGCATATGATGACAAGACATTTGTATGTAACTGGGGCATTAGCAATCTACAAATTCAAGTCTAATGCATACAATCAAAAGAAATAGGTACAGGGACTTTCTTAACCGTGACCTTAATATTATCACCTACACATTTTTTGTGGCAATTTGGCTAATAAGTTTCTAGATAAAAAGACGAACTTTTCGAAACAGTTTTTCTTATCTTGCCTTTCGTTCTCATTTTTTAATCGCCAACTTTCTGAAATTCTAGAGAATTTCACCCACGTTGTATAGTATTTCCACACTCGCTTACTGGACTTATCTTCACTTTACTCGGTTGAAGTTGACTTTTCACAATAAATTCCTTTGGATCCTTCTATACGTTAGTTTATTTATTTCTGAATGTACAGCTTTGAAAATGAGTTATCGAAGAGATAACTATATTCACTGTGACCGTCTTTTAGCTTCTTCATTAGATGAACTGAGGGTATTGTGAAAAAAACATCGAAGATCGATTGTCTAAGACTGAAATTACACATCGTGATAGAATAAACTTTTTCAAAACTTATGCTTGTGTTTCAACTTCTTTATTACCTTCGATATCCTTGTAAATGATTTCTCGTACATATATGTGAGTAACAGTATTTTTTTCTAAGACATAACCATATGTAGTCCCGGTTTTTGTGCCACTATTTTAGTTTTTTTTAAACAGTGATATGTTATTAAAAAATTCGCTAGCTATCAGTGAATTATATGCTTTTTGAATTGGACAGGTTAATGTAACTAGAAAATGTTTTAATTTTATTCAGAAATATTTTGTTACTGAATCGTTGATTAGGATTCGAAACTATCTATGAAGAAATATACCAAAACACTTGTTTAAAAAGTTTAAACCAGCGAATTGGGCTCAAAGATAAGTTTCATTTATAGGGTAAAATTACTACTTTCACAGAATCCATCTAGAAATAATAAACTTCAATGACTGAACAGATAACCTTTCACTTTATTTTTTTAAGTAATTTAAAATTTGTACCGAATGTGATATATTGTAAGAGAAATGGAAAAATATAAAAAGTTATATGGGTAATAAACCTTATTACTATGATAGTTTTCTAACTTGATGTAGCTCTATATCACTGTATACTAATATCGAATAAACAATACAATATGAAGATGAAAAATGCATATTATTGAAAAAGTCATATTAGTGAATAACCTTCAAAATATGAGTTGCCATGTTTTTTTATCAACTTAAGTGCTTCTTCAATTACATGTTGTCTGTTTTTGAGTTGAAAAACTTTATAAATCAATAAACTATACTGTATATTTGCCTGCTCATGCAAAATATTGTCATAGGATACTGTCATGAGTGTCATATCAGATAATAGCATTCCTTAAAATTTACAAGTCGTTTTCAAGTGCAATTTACTGATTGTCTTTTGCGAATATATGTATGGTTGCTCATGGTTGTATTGTATTCTCTAAGCTCTACAATTTAATAAAACAGCTCAAAGAACACAATACAATCGAGATCATTTCTTTGAGTTACAAATGTTCTCCACCATGTATGTTTGCTTAATGTGGCTATAAAATGGCTTATAAAAAATATTCTCCTTATGATCGTAGAATTTTAGCCTTTGATTATTACGTTTCTGCTATATGAATTTAACAGGAGCTTCTACCAAATAAAGTAATACCTGCTTAAAGTATCAGTATTAAATTTCACTAGAAATATGATTTTCAAGAGTTTGATATTTGTCTGTAAAACCCTGGATTTCACAATTTATTCATTTTCACTCTTTTCGATGCAAACAGACAAAATTAGTTATCGCCATTCTTAACAGGTGAGTCTTATGTACAAAGGAGTAATGCTTAATATCATTTGATATGAATTGATTTGTAAGTTATGCCCTGCATCATAATTTATTTGTGATAAAATTTTATTGTTCTATTTAGATCGTTAGTTCATTAGTTATAAATAGTATAACAGTAAAATTTTGGTTGGCTCAAGTTAGTGTATGGCAAAATAAACGTTTAATGTAACAATTTCAGAAGACAAAGTGAGAGGATGAGTATAGAGTTATTTGTATGCTGACGAACTGAATTCAACCAAACAAAATGGTAAACTACTAGTGTACACCGTGCAAATTACTTCAGAACTGTGTTATTTTATCTGAAACAAGTTTTTAATGCTTTCTTCACTTCATAAAACTCTCGTTAAATTAAGCTGCATATATAGGTTAGGGTTTTCAACTCATTTACTGAAATTGATAAGAAATAAAAGGACTTGTATGGAAAAAACATTCTGTAGAATAAACTACATTTCAGTTTAGTGAATTGAACACTGACAATGGTATAATAAAAGTAGCCTTGGTTTTCTTGTTAGCTATGAAACAATGCAAAATGTGTATTTCAAGTAGTCTTGAACAAATCATCTATATTGTTATGCTTGTAATTGTTTTAATTGAATTGCTCAGTAATCAGGTTTTATAAGGATATAGAGTGCATGTTATTTGATCAGTTCACAATGCTGCACTTTCTGGAATAGGAAAAAATATTAAAACTTTGTATTTATCTACATTATTATTTTCCCAAGTTTTTCTATTTCTCATTAGACAGTAAATGGACCAATAAATATTTGAACAAACAACTTCCTACTTATTAACAAATGTAAAATAACAGTTTAGTCAGGAATGATGACATCAGTCACTGAGTATATATCAAAGAGTTATGTAATCTCAAGCGAGAAAACTTATAAAAAATACTTTTAACTGGAAATGGGTGCAAGAGCTTAAGAACACCAGCGTTTAGAGAGGAAAGAAAGTACTGTAAAATTTCTTTTACAAGAAGTCGGCTATGCACTTGATCGAAAAGCCACTGTTTATAAGTTTCCAAGTTTTAGTGACTCATCATCTATCTTTAATATATACTGTTTTCAGTTAATTCTGTGAAAGAGATTCACTTCCAATAATTACAAGGGGAATTCATATTGTTTTCAGTATATATGTATATAAGAGACAGTTTACGACCCGAAAGATTTGGTTTGTCAATATTTTCACTCTTATATTTAACCTCACAGAAAAACTGAATGTTAGTAATACTAATCCATGTGAGTAGCTCATTTCAAGAGAAGACAAAAAATATACATGTAAGTATATGCAGAACTTTCTGAAAGATAAACTTCACTTATGACAAAATCTCAGCGGCCTTAACCCAAAAGTATATATTACTCAAAACTTACATCGTACCTTTCTTAAACTCTTGTACATGGGAACATGTAGTTTGCGAGTTTGTATTTAAAGAAATATAGATTCTGATTATAGGAGATCGTATATATCCACATTATCAAAAATGATTCAGTGTTCCTTTAAAGACATTGAATTTTACCAGCGTTTAAGAGTTGCTTGCGTATTCCGTTCAAACGACTTGTCCGTGACTGGACAATAACGTACACGTCTGCATAGTTCAAATAATATCAGAAATAAATATTTCTTCTCCGTAAGTGTACTAAGGACAAAACATTCTTGATTTGTATATCACCCTAATATCACAAATTGATGTGTCAAAGTCAGCCTGCGTTTTAATGTCATTAAAATGATTTCTGTGGTGTTCCAAATGAGAAGAAAACTGACTCTACAAGTTATTTTACCACCTGGTGTCTTTCTCCAAGAAATTTTTATCGTTACGGGTTTGAGATCATCTTCATGTCATCAAATGGATGGGCGCATCAGTGAATGATGTACGATTAGTTTGCATATGTATATGTTTGCTCTTATTTGATCAGGCGTATGTCAGTATCTTATTTGGAAACATATTTATATGTACATATGTTTATATACTTGTATACGTAAACATAAAATAACTTCCTTTCCAGTGATAAAAGATTTGTCATCTTAATTGAGGAGTTTGTAAATTCAGATGATATATATTAGATTTATTTGAAGGGGACATTACGAAGGTCTTTTCTGTGTCAGGGTAAGAAAATATTTGAAATAGTATGACAGACATGATACAAAGACACAAATTGTCGTCCATAGGTATATAAATATGCCTATTAAAGACAGAACTCGAAGATACACTTGTGAAGTTATCCATTTCTTTTTTAATGGCATGACATTCAGCATAAATTGCACAAATTTAACAATTCAATTCAAACAAAATAGAATATATGTGCCTGAATCATCTTTTCTTTTTCTGAACTAGCAAAGTGTAATTATAAGGAAATTAAAAATCACTAATGTGACATGAAAAAAAATTACTAAAAAATTTATTTTTACCTTTGAAAACGGGGCTGAAATAAGGTATATTAAAAATATATATAATAGGTGAATAGAATTTTCAGCTTGTCGATTTCTAAATAAATTTGATGACTAATGCAGATTCAGAAGTTCTGATTCAATAGCTGGACACAGTAACTGATGCAGGAAATAACGCGTAAAATGTGCACATATAAGTCTCATTTTCAACAAGGAAGATTTTGGGTTCTCATATCAGCATTCTAAAATCTAGGCATGTCAAACTAATTCCAACTCATGGTGAGAATCGTAATGTAGCATCACACATTTCTCTAGAATCAATAGCCTAAGGTTTGACGAGATTCAACGTTGATGCTGACCTTCATAAATTAACTGGACTGGCTAAGCTGAAGGCACCCGGTCAAGCATCCTTGCCATTTGGCACGCTGTTGTGTTAAGTTACACTGCTCTTAATCGACCCTCCAGCCAGTTGGTTGGAACGCATCGGTATCTTGACATGACCTCGCAAATATACTATTCCATCCGACTACGCTGTTGTGTTCTTTCTTGCTCTTGTATTCGTGGGTATATAACAAGTCGGAATAATTAGTGGCTGGCCTGTGCGTCTATCAATTTCGCACCAGGACATTTCCTAAAGCAACAAAGAACGAAACAAGAATGTGAGGAACCTTTTTTGCTTCCATTTTAATACAAAAGTTTTCAAACCACTGATTTTGATCTACTCAACAAGAGAAGTAATGCGGTTGGATTGCTAATTCACCAGACTGATTTTTAGTCACTCATGAATTTTAGTATGATGTCAGGCAGTTCTTCTACTTAAGTAGTCACAATTTTTCTATTGATGTGCTACACTGAACTAAAAATCAGCTTTTATAACAGTCAAAGTAAGTTTATAAACAACTCTATTAAATTAGAATTTATTAACTGGACTCGAGCACATTTGACTATCATATGAAATGACACAGTTATTAAGAAGTAAATTTTATGCTTATTGGTACATTTTTTGTGTCAAATAATTGATTGACGAGTCGTCTTCATCTGATTTCGTCAATGGGATAGTGACAACGATGTTTCTGAAATAATAAAGCTTCAGTTACAAACATCCAGGCCATAGTTGTTACGAATGTCCCGAAAGTTGAGGGTAGAGTCAGGTTTCATCAGTAAATAATCAAGTTCTAAGCATCCTGGGATTTAATTAAAACTTACTTATATAACACTTTAGCTACTTGGTTAGCTACTCTTTTTGTAACCTTCCTCGATTATGGTTTCAAAAAGTTCAAGGGAAGTAGAGAAAAGACAAATCAGAGGGAAGTTACTATCCGGTTACCTTAGGTTAAAGTTTATTTAATCAGCACTCCTTTTAGTATCTGTTTATCGAAGCATTTCACAACATGCAGTAGGTAGGAACCTAGCAAAACCGAGTGTATTCATTGTAATTATCAATACAGGCAAGAATATAACTACCCAAACGTCAGTAAATCTCATCTCCACTAATGTTCAAAATGTGACTTTTACACTAAGGTTTTGGTGAAATGTTCTACCTTAGGATATGTGGTTAGCCATGCATGCCATTCCGCTTTATATAAAATACTTTCCAGTCACAAGCTAAATTTAAAGCGAACTGTTCACAGCAGCTAATTACAAGGTATAGCTTGTAAATTCGCACTGTTGATTTAACCGAACTAACTGACGATAACTGAAATATGGACTCCTGTGTGGATACCTCAATATTATCGTTATTTTTGGCGTCAATATAGGTTTCAGCATAAGTGGAAACAACTTCACTCACTGGGAGACAGATACATCCAGGTGACGAGTCCTAATTAGCAGGAAACGTCCTTCCTGGATTTCACAACTAGCCACTATGCATCATTATTACCAGTTAATTTTAACATCGTAAGTGAAAATATGACGTTTTACGAGAATCAGCTTTTCTCTTGATCACTTCATAAGGGAAACTAGGGTAAGTATTTCCAAACATCATTGATTTTGTGATCCTGGCGTTATGACAACTTCAGTACCTGTATATTAAACAAAATTCATATGGGGATCGAGTCATTTTTATTCGACTGATAATCATAAAATCACCAACCTGTTGAGACTGTCTATTATTCAGGGAGAAAGTATAATCAAGAAAGATTTTTGGTGCCTTTTTCGCTTTGGTGTTTGACCAGAAGTTGTTGCTGATGACGTCACCAAGATCAAGGACTGGATGTCAGTGATCATATAGCAAAGCTAAGAGAATACCGAAAAGTTCTCCTTTATTCGAAAAAGATATTCAGTTAATGTTTACCGGAAAATCATTGTTCAGCACACACTGAGTGGATTCAAAATGGTTTGTTTCTTTTGTTAACGGTTGACTCAGTTATTGTGCTATACAAAATTCTCATTTCCGATAATAAGAAAGATAGTGACCATGTAGTTTGTGAAACTTCTGACTGAAATGTAAATTAAGTTCTCATTTTTTCCCTGATCTGTAGTAGTTTTCAAGTCCCAGACAACAGTGTCGCATTCCTATTGAAGAGATATCAGTTAGAAAATCACTGAAGGCCTCCGGCTACTAGACAGCTATATCGCCCTACTATGGAATCCCTCAGGATGGCGCATCCATAACCTCGAACGATCAAGGGTCGAACTTTAGGTTTCACGAAAAGCAGGATACTGTTGAGCCACTGTGTTGAAATCGACTGGCCCATATTTTCCTACTCCCTTCAATTCCCATAAAACGAAACTTGTCCAGTGTCAATGGGTTTTCAGTGGTTCTCATATTGGTGTCAGCCCGTAATGGATGCCAACTTAAAAGCGAATCAATCTCCATAAATCTCCAAATTCAAACCTTAGATGACAGAAAAACTATTCAGTAAGCGAAAAAGTTCTTAAATATTAGTAAGAATCAGCTACTTTAAACTTTTCCACAGAGACGCCAAACTTATTTTTGAGGATAAATCTATTTGATCTTGTAGTTTCTAGTTGATTTTTCAGCGAAAACGAAAGAAGCGCACTCAGCTACCTTATGCACATCCATGTATTAGGCACTGAGCCACACATTTTAAATGAGAGTACGTGATACTACTTGGTTTACCAGACTTCGGTAGGTGAAACGGGCCTCGGACCTGTAGCACAGTGGTTGATAGTCATCTCCCTAAACCTGTGAACTAGAGCTTCCTTGATTATTCGGCGGGACTGTGTTGATGGGTCTTTGTTATCCTATAAGTTTCATGAAAAAACATATGAGCATCAACTTGAATTTTATGATTTTATCCTACTTGATTCCAGGCAGTGACATTCAGCAAGCGTGTTTCGCTTGACTCGAAAGGATTAGCTAGATGTGTACTCATACCAGTTGGTGTTAACCGTCCTACTGAGATTCTCATCGCGATTCAGACCATTCATTTGATGAACTCAAACAGTATGGTTTACAACAACTAAATCCCACTGTTGGGTTTTTGAGGCATTCAACATGAAAATAAGTAAATAATGATGGACAAAACAAAAATCAATATTACACTAAAACTGATTTTTATACTGGTGATTTCCATCTTGATGATAAAAGCAGTGAAATTTGTCGATACTTAACAACATAGAAACCAAGTTCAGCGATAAATAAACCAATTAAATGGACTACCAATTGATGTTTGGCGGTTGAACTTTGATCAGTATGTTAAATTTAAGTTGGTTTGTATGAAAGTTGTTTGTTGCATTGGGTTAATGAACATAAGATATGACATTTCACGATACTCTCTTTACTGTGATTTCTTAACTCTTTCAACTTTATAAACTCCTGATTTATACCATTTGTAAATTATGATTTGTGTAAAGTATTCACTGAGATAATTTGAATAAGTTTTGTAACATTTCCTGCTTTTGTTTACTTCAAGTGTCACAATGAAAGCAAAGCACACTGGATATATCTTCATATGATATGATAACAGAATGTATAACTTGCAGATGTTATAAAACAGCATAATAATGTCCGTGATAGAAGTGTATTATATGGTAGTCTTTAATTTGTACGTGTTGTATATGGGTTCAAGTATATTTAGTTGTTTCATCTGATAAAGCACAGCTCTAAAAGTTACTGGTTTCAAAAAGTATTTTTTACAGTGACATATTTGCACGTTCCAAGCTTTATATTTTGAAAATGATTTAAGAGTTGTTGACTGGTAGTATATTGGTTACTTCTGAGTAGTGAAAGAATTCATCCTAAAAATTAACTTATTAATACAAACTGGATACTGTGGCAGTATGTAGTTCCATGCCAAATCGGTTGTTTATTTTTGCACACAGAAATACAGTATTATCAACTGGATTACGTTAATGACAGCTTATCGTCCGAAACCAGATTAGTATGTTCATATAACTTTAAATACTTGATATTTTAATGCAGACACCTATTACTTAGTTCTGGTATTATGAGAACTGTACACCAAAAGGGAATAATGCTGAGTAATCAGACCAAG